TGTTCATTATAATAACTTTTACTATTTAATTTTTGATGAAATTATTAATTTAATTTACTATTTACTTGAATAGAGTTACTAAATTGTTTTTGCATCATCTATTTGCAGTTACAATTTAATGTTGAATCTAAGCGTGAGTTAATTAATTTAAAGGATTTGGTTAAGATTATATTTTTATTAAAAATATATCTATTACTCAATTGCATTGTTTCGTATATTTTGTATAATAATAGCTTGCATTTTTTACGCATACAATTGAAATTACATTTATAAATTTAATTATTATATTATTAAAATTACATACCAAATGGCGTTATTGATATAAATAAGATTAATGAAATTAAGTTTAATAAGTGATATGTTTTCATGACTAAAATCTATAACACAATAGTGTATTTAGGATAATAATTATTCAAACAAAGTGTCTAAACTTTTATTATTAATTTATAACAAGAAAATGAATGATAAATTGTTAATTTACTTCAAATATGTTTTTAAAGTTATTAGACATCAACGTAGGTGAATATTATATTTCAGGCTATTTTTAATAATAGTTAAATTAAAGTTTTTTCTAATTATTAAATTTATTTAAAATAAAAATTATTCTGGTGTTCAATTTATATTTTTATGATGTTATAAATTACTTTAAAAATATAATAACCAATTAAATATATATATATATATATATTTAACCGAGTTTATTTTGTTAAATGCTTATATGAATATGCTTATAAGTATTTAAAAATGTTAAGAAATATAAATATTAAAATTTATTTAAATAATTGTTTTTATAATACAGAATATTGATAAATATAAATCTATTTTCATCAGATTTTAGCGAGTTTATAAAATCTAAAAATTATTCAAACGATCTCTCTCTCTCTCTCTCTCTCTCTCTCTCTCTCTTTCCAACTTGTTTTGAAAGAAAAAACTATTTTCATAAGAAAACGATATAAAACATCAGATTTTGAATTGAATTTAAATGGGATTTTATATTAAAACAAATGGTTTGTGTTTTGCCGTAAATTGAATTGAATTACAGATGCGTTTGAAAACACATAAGGAATGCAATCGTTTGCTATAAAGATTCCCAGAAAAATAAGTGCAAAACATTTTCATTGATTTTATTTGTAATTGATTTGTGTGTTTGAAACACATTTCAAAACAATTACATTCAGAGGAAATATTTTCTATACATTTAATACATACTGATTCAATAACTGATTATCAATGCTTTGGTTACAAAATGTAATGCTTTTATAAACTATTTGTGTTACAATATTATTAAAATATTCAATTCCTGTGGATATAAATTGGATGAATAAATATGAGTGAGTGTGTGTGTGTGTGTGTGTGTGTGAGAGAGAGAGAGAGAGAAACCATAAAAATTTATTTTGCTTTTAATAAAAAGAATTTGAAAATAAAATTATATTCTAACAATAAAACATAATCCCATTTAATCCTCAAGAATAACACATTTTATTTGTTATCCACTATTATTGTAAATATTCTAATATTCTTATAATAACTCATATCATTTGTCAAAAACAATTTTATTAAAAAATAAATTTATTGTTTTTATGCAAAATTTATGGTATTTTCAAGAATTATATACAGAATATTCTTTATTAAAATACATTCTCTTTCTCTTTAAGCTATAATTTATATTCTTTTTGTGAACTCGTCTTTGAACTCGAAATCACATACCAGTGCTCTCTTAACTCATATGTATGTCTCAACACAGGACACGAGAGTAGGTCAGCCGTTATGTCACAGATAAAGCCAATATTCGCTACAGACAACTCCCGATATCACCAACCAATGAAGTATACTCAATCTCTTATTAACATATCATACACAAAGTTTATGAATTAGATATTATTTGAATTTATAAAGTAAGGAAAAATAAAATTTTATAAATTCCGACATTATTAACAATTATATGGTTTGCTTAATATTCCTTACATGTAAAATCGCGAATACCATATCCAAAGCTACCGGTGCCCAAGCGTCTGCGCTCTCAAACATATTCCGGTCGCACAACATCTTTACTACAGAATATATACAATATATACACATATATATGGAATATACTCACAGAATATCGAACACTCGGCTTCCCTCTCGCATACCAGTGCTCTGCAGAACCCTCTTCTGAGAGGCCAGTCGTGTGTTTCTCTTTCTCTCCTATTCTTCACTATTTTTATTAGACTTTTATGTCTAATATTCTGCTAAACAGTGCTCTTATTCTTGACTCTCGAGCCACACTTCAAGCCATCGCTTTCCACTCGTTTCCACTGTTTTTGTTTGACTTTTATTGTTATTATTATAAATAAAGCGAAATATTTATAATAAATATTTGCGAATAATATTAAAATATAACCCAAACAAAGTTGTACTTGGTGTGTTTTGTGTTTGTTTGCTATATGTTACACTGACTATGTGCTTGCGGTGGGATGTGCTGTAATTGTGTGCAGCTATCGGCGCGTCTGTGAGAGAAAAACACTGGTAATCACAGCTCCCGGAGCGCACCCACAGCTGATCACTGGGCGCCCCATTC